TTTTGTGTTGAAAACATAGCTGTTTAACATTTGTGCAAGGTGTGTTAATCTTGCTGCGTTATGGAATGAAATAATATTTTCAAGTCATAAAAATGTTGCTTCTGTGTTTTAAAATTACTTGGTGGCTATATTGCATTAGAGGCAGTAGAGCACAATCATTAAGTCTCAGGCTCTGAAGCCAAACTGTCTGAATCTAGATGCTTACCCCCCACTTACTGAACCTTGAGGAGGTTATTTAGCTTTCAGTGCCACATATTTTAAAAAGGGGATAATGATGCCTATGTCACAGGGTGTTTATTTATGAAATGAAGCTTATGTGTGTAGAGAGAACCATGTCTGGCATGAATTAAAAACTCAGCAGTAGCCAGTACTGCTTTTTGCCTTTGCCCTTATTTACCAATAATCTAGAAGATATCAACAGTGTGCTTGTTTCCAAAAATACAAAAATGAATACAAGATGATTGCCACCTTTACAAAAGTGTGTCCCCCCTTATCATACACTGTTGTTCAGCAATAGTGCCACAGACTTCATTGTGGTTCAAGCAATTCCCTGCGCTATTTGAGCAACGGTGATTTACAATCTCCCACACAGTGGTGTCCATTTTTGTGAGAACCAACACCTCTATTCTTCCTACTCTTCTGCCCCAATAAGTCAGTAAGACCAATCCAGCCTGAGTTGTCTTTGGTAACAAGTGTTTCCCTTCACTCTGGTGACATCATAAAGTCAGTGAGCTTATGTCAGTGAGTGGGCTCCTCCTTACATGCACCAAACTTTCTAAACAGTGATTGCACCCTTGCCTTAGAGGCCTCTTGGAAAACTCATTAGACTTACATGTTATGTATGATATGGTATTGATAGATGTATTTTTCTCTCCTCAAAGTAATTTTTTAAAAAAAGTATAACTTTATGGAGTCTAATTTCGATAAACTGGAGAGAAATGTTAATAATTAGAATCTTCAGTGCTGTACCTGATTAAGGGGAAGACTTGTTCTGGGAACATCAGTTATTCACTGCCTTTTAAACCGCATAACACTGCTCATCCCCTGTGTCTCCTAGCTTCAGGATTATGAAAGGGTCCAAGTAATTCTACTGTGTTCATGATGGCTTTTGCACACTGTCTGAAAAGATTCTAAATTAGGCACTGCAGGCTAGACATTAACATTGGTTGAATAGATGAAAATTGTTGGTAGAAGGGACACCATGTCTTCTTGAGAATAACCACAGAACATTAAAATGGACAGATGAGCAGTTGTGATAACCTCTAAGCAAAAATTGAAAAGGAAAATGTCTCCATAAATATATCAGAAGGAAATGAAGCTAACAAAACGCTTACATTTAAAATAACTAAGTGAAGTACCAAAAAGATTAAGTGAAAATCTACTTTAGCACCAAGGAAACTCTTGAAAGTAGAGGGGATTGTTGTGACAGGTGAACTGTTTACTTGCCAAGGAAGAGAGACACTGCCATTCTGTCCATTTTGTACATACTCTGTATTTATTTGTACAGGCAATGTGAAATGTTCAGATCATAAGGCCTCTATATGTACCAAAAACCATTACTAAAAGAGAGATCAGATCTCTCAGCTGCAGACAGACAGCTCCATAATAAAATAAATCAGAAACTCTAGATTTAAATGTGAATGGCAGAAGGAGACTGGTGCCTCAAGAAATTCTTATATTATACATACTATAGTTTATGAAATGTACATATAAAAAATAAAAATTATATTTCATATACACATTAAGATTTTAAAAATCTTCCTGTTAATTTGACATGGAGAATGGGATGGTTGACAATGATTTTGTTAATAAGAGCTAATTATGCTACAAAATTGCATAGCTTAAATATTGTTTTAAATAAGTTATGTTAATGTTTTCAGTGTAAAATATCCCCAACTTTCAAGAAAATGAAGAGATAAACCATAGAATAGAGAAAACATTTGCAAAAGACTTAGCTGACAAAGCATTGTTCTCCAAAATATAAAAAGAACTCAAGGAAATTAATGATCCAATTAAAAAGTGAAATTAATAATACAATTAAAAAGTGAGCCAAAGACCTGAATAAATATCTCACCAAAAAAGATGGCAAATAAGCACAGGAGGGGGTGGGGATTTAGCTCAGTGGCACAGTACCTGCCTGGCAAGCGTGAGGTCGTGAGTTTGATTCCCGGTACCGGAAAAAAAACAAACCAAAAAAAAAAAAAAAATAGGAAAAGATGTTCAATATAACTGTCATTGGAATCGCTAAGTAAGACAACTACTACACAAATCCAAACCACTGACAACATCAAATTCTAGTGTAGATGTCCAGCAACAGGATACTTATTTATTGCTGATGGAAATGAAAAAAATAGTGCAACCACTTTGGAAGACAGTATTTACCCAAATAAGCTAAAAAATTATTATTCAAAAAAGGCTTCACACAGATATTTATAGCAGCTTTATTCATAATTAGCAAAACTTGGGAGCAAGTGAAATATCTGTTCAACTTCACCTTCAGTAGGTGAATAGATAAATAAAATGTGATACTTCCGGGCAATGACATATTATTCAGCACTTGAGGGAAATGAATTATCAAGCCATTAAAAGACAGGGAGGAAACCTAAATGCTTATTTCTAGGTGAAAGAAGTCAATCTGAAAAGACTCTCCACTCTGAGATTCCAACTACATGACTTTTTGGAAAAGGCAAAACCATGCAGATAGTGAAAGGTGTGGTGGTTGTCAGGGTTTAAGGGGGAGGGAGGACTTTCATGGCAGTGAAATTACTGTGTCAGAACACATAGAACGTGGATCGCCAAGAGTGAACTTTAATGTAAACTGGAATTCAGGTGACAGTGGCCTGCCGGTGTGGGTTCATAGATTGTAGCAAATGTACCACTCTGTTGGGGAATGTTTAGAGTGGGGAAGGCTGTGTGTGGGGAGGTATAGGAAAAATCCGTATCTTCAGCTAAATTTTGCTGAAAACCACAAATTTTTCTAAAATGTAAAGTTTATTAATTTAAAAAGAGGGTTGATCCACTGCTGTAACACATATTGAAACAAGCAAAACTAGTCAATATCAATGTAAACCAGGATACTGTTTTCTTCTGGAAAAATCAACCAGAAGATGGCATCAGGCAGACATCCGGGGGTACTGCATAATGTACTACATCTTAATTTGATTGATAAACACTTTACGAGAACACACAGAGGTATATGCTTACTTGTCTCATACATATATAATTAATGCCTCCATATAAAGCATTTTATAAATACAAAAGAACCTCCCCAACTTTACATGTAAATTTCAATTATTTCCTGGAAATCTTTGGTTTTCCTGGGGGAAGTAAGTAATCCCTGCTCACTTTTCTTTCAATAATTTTGGAAGAAGTTAATGATGCATTGATGGATTAATTAAGACCCAACTGAGGCAAGAGAAAACATTCTAAGTAAAAAGATGCAATTTTATCCAGGGAAATAGTAAAACAGATGATGGGAGAACTGAGAGGCAAAAGTGTGGAAAGTAAATCAGTTTAGAGACTAAAAGCAGCAGAAAGCCAAGGACACCACCACCCATAATTCTCAAAGGACAAAGGGAAAAGACAGTGTTGTCCAAGTTCAGAGTGCGAGGTTACTTGGGGAAGCAGGTGGCAGGAGCTTCCAGCAAGGGGCTGGAAAACTAGTCCGGAGGGATCAGTCCCCTTGGAAAAGAGTAAGAGCAGGGCGAAGAACAGCTCTTATGGTCAAAACACATACACTTATTTTCTTTACAATACCACCCAGTAACAAAACCTCAAAGAAAGTAGAAGAGAAAATCCTGAAAGAAGAGTATTGATAAGAAAGTAAGTTTTCCAGTGCTATTTTCTCTTCCATAGTAACCGCTACACTAGACAAACTGATTTGCTGATGTTTTTGAAGTGCACTAAATTTTACTCTTGGGAACTACATTTAACAAACACCTGAAAAGTTACCGAAATCTCCATTTTAGTTTTCTATCCAATCTCAATAAACCAAATTTACATACCTTTACAATTAATGAAAGAACTACCCACTTTCATTTTGAAGTTAATCAAAAGTATTAAAGGAGGTATGCTTGCTTTGCAGACTAGATTTAGACAATGATCAGTGCTATGTCAGTTGTATTTTTAAAAAATGAACATAGGTATATTCTGATGTACTGGATATCACCATTCTTCAAGTAGATAATAAAGACACACTTTGAAAATTGATCTAAAGGAGGAAGTGGGAAGCCACACAATTTCCTCAATATGACTACTACCCGGTTTTTCTATTACTCTATTCCACTGAAAACTGTCAAAAACATATTTCAGACTAATATTATACACTAATTTTTAGGCTGTTGTCTGCCTTTTCTTGTATAGAAACACTATCACACACAATGATGTAAAATATACTTACAATATTTATCCATTTTATAGCTAGGCAAAATAAAGCTCACTGTGTGTGTGTGTGTGTGTGTGTGTGTGTGCACGCATGTGCCTAATTGTACATAGCAGTTTAAAAATTAGTGCTTCTGGTGTTAACCATGTCCTTCTTTTAGTTTAGGTGTTATAAAATCCTCTAATAGGCAGCTTTTGAAATGTTTTCTTTATCTCACCCATGATTAAGCTACTACTATCGCCTACTTTCCTTCAGCTTATGCCATTAAAACGTGATTTTATCTCAATCTGGCTTATTAGTTTGACAATAGATATATTTTCAATATTTAAAAAATAAAGTGACCATTAGACCAGAATGAAGTGTGAAATATTTGCCTAATAGAAATCTGAAAGAGATGCAATGATCATCTCTGTTAAACAACTGATAGTTCAGATGGTTTCTGATACTCATAAACAGACAAAAGGTACGGAAATGAAGTCTTGCACTGTCTGGCACCTCATTAAAAGTAGAAAGCAAGAAAGCATCAATAATATTTAACCTTGTTTTTTTCCATGCAAAGAAGAAAGATATTTTACAGGGTCCAATGCCCATTTAAAATTTTTGTCTTAATCGCACTTACCTAAAATTGAGTAACCAAACAGCATGAACTTCCCAAAACCATCTATTTTCTTTTCTTTGAAATGGTAGTTGATTGTGTCATTTAAAGACTTCCCAAGTACTTTTTTATCCAGGGTCTGGTAAATCCTATATCTCTGTAATGAGAAACAAACATTTATTTAGTTCACCAACTCACAGTTATATGTTTATTTATTTATTTATTTTTTTGGTTTTTCTCCGGTACCGGGAACTGAACTCACGACCTTGCGCTTGCCAGGCAGGCGCTTTTGCCACTGAGCTAAATCTCCAGCCCCAGTTATATGTTTATTACAGAGACAGGAAGCCAGGATAGACATATCTAGTTGTAAAATACCATGATATGGTATTTTACAACTCTTTCATCCACTATTAATAACTGTGACACTGAACTGAGAAACTTGGTTTTCATTTATTATAAGAAAGATTTAGAGCTTGGACCTTTATTCTAGAAGTCCTACTACAGTTGAGGATGGTCAGGCCTAGACGGATGAAGAGACAGTCCATGATTGTAACAGAAAGTGGACTGGAACCTTGGGTTTCTAACATAATTATTTATTTTTACTTGATTAGGAACCCAAACATGGGAGAACACAGACTCTTCTGTTTTCCAAGTAGGCACATTTTTTTCTTAATATTGTTATCACTGTTTCTGCTAAAGCCAAGGAAACTACTTTTGATGTCAAAGTCCACGAGGACAGTATATTTTCTAATGCCTTAATCCCAAGGAATTGTAGGTGGATAGCCCATAAAATTGACTATAACAATGGCAACCTAACATGTTTTGGTCATTTATATGATTCAATATGCTGCATTGTAATAACATAAAGAGTAAATAGTTCACAAAATTGGTTCGTGTTTCTTAAAGCTAAATTGTTTTACAAGGTTTTTTTTTTGTGAAAAAATATACAGATGAGAACTGAGAGAAGCTTTACATTGCTCTTTTCAGGGCTGAAGATTCCCTCCCTCTACCTGGAGGTACCCAGGTACTATATCTACCCTGTCCTATCATTAGAGTATTTTTTACATTCTTCTCTTCCTCTCTGCGTTCCCCTATCCTTCTCCCTCTCAGTATGCGGCCTGGATGTTACTATCTCAGTGGCCAGATGAGTGAGAGCAATAGGAACCTGCATTTCTGGAATTCACATGTTGAGCTGAAGGAAAAGGAGGAAAAGGGACACAGGAAGTTAAAGGCAGAGGGCATCCGAAGGATCAATCACAGTGAGGATGACAAGGAAAGGGACAGATAGAAGGATCCTTGAGAGATGCCGTTTGCTCCCTGCTCAAACCCCATGTTTTCCTTCCCAACTCTTCCCAATAAATCCAGATTGTCACAAATGATCATAATAATTATTTTAGCTTCCATGACTGACTTCAGACATCCTGTACTTTTAGCTACTTCCAGAAGCTATGACACTAGCTCCTCTTCCATGACACTAGCTCCTCTTCCTCTAATACAAGCTCCTCCTCCATGACACTAGCTCCTCTTCCTCTAATAGAAGTTCTTGGTTATGTTCATTAGTACAGGACCACATTTATTTAAAAGGGCTAAAAAACTTCTCACTGCACAATTAATCTTTCTGTAACATTAAGGCCCAGCAGTCTTTTCTTCTGATGATATCTTGTGTACATACATGGATTTGGCATCTTTGAGTTAAATTATTTTTACTGCAGTAGGGCTTTCACATTTTTTTTTTTTTCCTTAAAGTACACACTATTGTTATTTTAGTAAGTTGAGTTGGGACTAGACGAGAGCTATGCATTTGGGAATAAATTATGTATTAAAAGGATTGCCCCTGATGAATGCATTTTTCCAAGCCATGTAATTAGGAAATAAAGAGAAACACACACATGTTCTTTCATATAAGGATGGGTACAGAGATAAAGTGACATATAGCTCTCCCTGATAATAGAAAATCGTGGAAGAAACCCCTTAGCATTGGTCTGGCGGCATTTTAAATCTTGTTGCTGGTTGTCGCTCCTCTATCTGTCAACCACTCTGGGGACAGGTACTTTACACGGTTGTTTTTGGCCTGGTTCTCTGGGTTACACCAGAGGGCAGTGGACTAGGAGGGAGATTAGGTAGTGACAAAGACACTGGACTGAAGTGCCCCAGGGTGGCTCAACTTGACTGAGATCTACGACTTTAATAAAGTTGCACCTTCGCACCTTATCCTGATGGTAAGCTGGCTGTAGTCTTGCCATTGCTCCTCTACCACAGCGTGGCCCCCGTTTTGGGCTGTGTCTCACCGGCAGTGATCAAGAGCAGCTGTCTAACTGGGAGACAGATCCATCTCTACTACTCTCGGCTTCTCTTCCCTGTGGCACTGCCAGAGTATGCAGAACTGGATACAGATAATTTTTTCTACTCAAACCTGACAGTGGCTGCCTCCCAAACTGCCAATGAACTAAAGCCACCAACGCTTCTCTCCCTGTCTTGCTGCAGCCTCCTGGACAATCGCAGAGCAAAATTCTCACAGGAACACTGGGCCGGAGGACAGGAAGTGCTACCTTTTTCTCTTTAAGTTTTTATTAAAATTTAGGTCTGCTAACTTCAATTGTAGGCTAGCTAACCTAGAATTTTCAGTGTGACTGGAAGTTCAGATTTAAAGTCTTGGGATAAAATAAAAGCACTGTCTTCTCTACCTAGCTCTCTCAGAAACTTTCAGAAGGGCTCAGATTGGAATTAGTCTGTGGATATCTTACAACTGACTATCAGAAGAGAAAAAAGGACTTTGTTTATTTTGGATGCCATAATTTAGGCATATAGGATAGGTGGAAGTTGCAGTATACAGATTTTTGCTTAATAATAAAACTCCCTCAAATTAGAGCCCGTAGAAATAGAATGGACCACGTAAAAAGGTATGCCCATCATAAAGTGAACTCAATCTAGAGGTTTAAAATCACTTGTGAGGTGGGATTTGAGGAAGCACATTCATTCTTATATATGTGTAGAATAAGTGATCACTTCTGGCTCTGATTTCATAGAAACTAGTCAAATATGAAATGGAATTAGAATTAATATTCGTAATATTCATTATTCATGTCTCTGCCCTTAAGGATCTTCCAAACTAAAGGAGCACCAAGTCTTCACTCTCTCTTCCACTATTTAATGATTTATTTACTTGTTGTCTCTTCACACTAAATGATAAGCTCCACAAAGGCAAGAAGGATGTTTGCTACTGTATCCCTCATACTTAGAATGATGGCTGGCACATAGCAGGTCTACCATAATATTTACCACATGAAAAACCAGTGAATGGATGTAATATTTGAGCTTGTCAGTAAATTTGAATCTAAGGAGAAATTAAGATGGTTTTTATCACAAAGATATGCTGGTTAGAGTAAGGCTTATAAATGATGGTTTTATTTATGTATGCCTTAGAAAAAAGAAATGCATACCCTAGGAAAGAAAGGATAAAGTATGAAATTAAATAACATGAATGTAGTAAGGGAGAAACCCTACTATGTTGTTTTTCTTATGTTAAATGTTACCTTCTTTTCTTGTGAATATTTGGTTCAGTGTGTTTCTTTTATCCTTATTAACTGGCCTGACACTGAAAATAATTTCATTACAGTTTGAAGAAGTCACAGGCCTTCTATTCATACTAGAAAAAAAAAAAGGAAACCAAGCAGGTGTTTTACTTGCTTTCATTATTATTCAGGAGTGGGTAGCCAGATACTAAAAGGAGGAGTGAAAAGGGTTATATCCAGGATTTACTCTTTAGGCTTTCCTTTCCTGATAGTCATGTTGGGGGACTGGAGTCTTGTGAGTGTGGCTTAGTAGATTTCAGATGTGAGGATGGGGAGCAATTTGAGATCCCTGAGTAGAGATAGTAGTGACCAGAGATTTGCAAAAGGATGCCTCCCAGTAATGCAGAGCTGGAGAGCATGCTGCATTCATAAACACGTAAAGCATGGTAATTTCTGGTGTTTGACACTGTTTGTAGACATAAATTGTAGCAGCTATTAGGTGAGTTTGGTGAGGAATGATTAGTCTTTGCAGAAGCAGTAACTACATGTCCAAATAATTTCCAAGAGACTTAAATAGTTCCTGTATTTTTTTCCCTTTTTCTGAGTGGGTATGTGCTGCCACATTCACAAAATGCATGCTGAGATCTCACCCCAGTGCTAAAGCTGAGCTCAGGATTCTTGTCAAGACTCTTGTGCAAACACAACAGCAGGAAAATTCTCTATAACAGTGAGGAGGCTGGAACAGAAGGAGGAACAGGTTGAAGCCCCTTCTGCTGAACCCCCTTCTGGTGTTATGGAAAAGAGAACAAACTTGGGCCAGCTGACTACATTTTATTCCTATCTTTACCTTTAACTACCTGGACAAGTTATTTACTCTCAAAATGGTGTTTTCAACTGGAGCTAATCTTGCTCTCACCACTAGGGACATTTGTCAATGTCTAGTGGCAACTATGATTGCAGGGGTAGGGTAGGTACAACTGGCATCAAACCTAGTGGTTGGGGCCAGAGTGCTGCTGAACATCCTCCAACACCCTCCCCAAATAACCCCATCCAAATCATATCAGAAACTGGTCCAGATGGTTAGTATTAGCTTTTAAGCCTTTGGCCAGATTATCAGGAAATTAGTCAGCTCTCAGAGGGGGTTGTACATCTGTAATGTCTTCCCATCAGAAACTGGTCCAGACCTCTGCATTGCTCAAGGTAAGCCTGAGTCCCCTTCCAAAGTTCCCTCAAACTCTGTATCACATCCTGAGTTCCTCGCTGTACCTCCCAGCTCTCCGCTTCACCCCCTTCCCACACTCTGTTCCTTGGCATTGCCGCACTATCCACTAAGCTCCTCCATTATAGCATCTCTTAATATGGAAAATTATCAGAAATTTTTCTTATCTCTCCATAAGAATATATACACCTTGAGGGCCTACTACCCTGTTTATTTCTTTGCCATCCCTAGTGCATCATCTTTACTGATGAATAATATTTCTCAGTTAATGTTTGTTTGAGGAAATGACAGCTCGATGGACAATTAGCAAACACAAAACTCAGAGTTTTTTCAAGTGGTTCTTTCATGGAATTGTAGCATAAATTTATGCAGATAATTTCACCAGCGTATTAATTATTGGCCTAAGAATATCAAAGTGACTCAGGA